TCTTATGAAATATCACTTGAACAATAAAAAGTATCACAAGATTTACTGTGTCTACTTAAGCAATAAGCAATTGAGATAATTCTTCATAGAAATCATTTGAGTGTGTAAAGGATGAATAAAAACCAGCTTGTCTCTTATTGATATTTGCAATGGTTAAACAATACCCAGGCACAAGGACTATCTCTGCACTCAAGCTGGAAGCTTGTATTTCCCCTCAGCACTTTAATGCTCTTTACTTTTTGATAATTGGAATTCAAAACAGAGGAGTGGGAAACCAAGTCTTTAGAAAAGATTCCTTTATTCTTTTAATATCTTTTCTTAGAAAAACCCAATTTTTAAAAGTTGGGGTTTTTTTGTTAGTTTGGGGTTCTATTTTTGTTTTCTTTTTGTGTTTTTGTGGTTTTTTTTTTTGTTCTTTCCTTGCACATGCAAAGGACAAAGAAACAAGAAGTGATAACTATCAAAAACTGGACAGCTCAGGTGCACGGTAGTGAAATCTGAATAGTGACAGCCTTTTACATAAAATTGGTGAGTCAGGGGCTTTGTTTTAAATCCTTTGGACAGTTCAATCCCATCATCTTTCTCCATACAGGAAGATCAACAAAATTAACCTCTGGGTAATCACAGTGAACAACTGGGTACATCATTGTGGTGAGGAACCCACAACTTTAAAGTACTGTGCAGGGGCCAAATCCAGGTGGGTCAGGGCAAATGCAACTCTTAACGTGTTTTTGCTGTGTCTATGTATGCTGTGCACTAGGCAGAGATAGCTCATGTCAGAAGAGGATGTGATCTGTAAGGGAGAGGTGAGAAAAAAAGACAGACAATACACACACTCACACTAATTCCTCCACTGCCCACGGTGACTGCTTTTGTTTCAGGAGTTTTACCATATCAGAAGTGGTTTTGAGAAGGAAAAAAACCCATCAGCTGCAAGGAGCAGGAGAGATCTAGAAAGATCATGGAGGTGGTGGGACAAAGCTTGCAGAGAAGAGAGCTGTGGTTGGCACAGGCAGAAGAGCAGGAGCTGAGTGAAACCTGAGTAACCTGTGCAGTGACAGGTCCCCAAAAGCAAAGATACAGGTCCATAAAATAATAATACGAGGGTCAATTTTAATGTGGAAGAAAGGGAAAAGGGTACAGAAGAAAGGGAAAAAATAAAAATAGGTAAAGTACCATTTGAAGAGTCTGTCTTTTGGGGAGGACAGCTTGTTGATTGGTACAATCTTCAGGGACATATGAACTCACTCCAAAGCATTGGCTGCTTACAGAAGACAAAAACCTTCTGGATATGGCCTGGATACATGTAAGACAGAGTAAAATCTTACAGACTTGAACAGCCACAATCATGGGAATTCTGATAACTGCTGAGAGAACAAAATCTTGCTCTAGTAGGACCACAATAAATTTAGGGATTAGAAAGAGTCAAAACCCAAAGGCAGGACAGGCAGGGAGTTAAAGCTGTAAAGCAAGAAAACTTTGCAAGGGCACCATTAGAGATAATAAGACTGGGATTTCAGGATGGTTTAGAGAGGTTAAGGAAGATGGAGGTAGTCTGTAGGTCTTGAATACATCATTAAGAGCTTGTTGGGAAGACCTTGTATTGCAGAATGTGGTGTGCGTGGCACTGATCCAGGATAACTGTGAATGGGGAGTTTCCATGGACAGGTCAAGAAATGTCTCCAAACCCATTGTAAAAGCAAAAACTTAACATAGAAAAAAAAAAAAGGATTTTGTCAAACAGTGGTGTCAAACTAGTTTTTATTTTCATGAGAAAACTGGTAATATCTGATCAAGTTGACTTGTTTTAAGTAGCCAATGCTATATATTGTCCCTGACTTTGTTTCTGAGCATGGGGAAAACATACATCTTCATCAATCTAGTGGCATTTGTTGGAAAACATTCTCTGTGTTTAGCTAATGACTTAATTAGAAAATCAGTAGTCAGCTGGCAGTGAATGGTGAGTCTTTATTTAACAGGAAAGCACGGAAATTAGCCATCCATCTGTTTTTTCCTGTTAATTACATCTAAATATTAAAATTGAATACAGCCTTCAACCTGATTGGTAGTTTGAGTGGTAACAGCAGTGTTCACACACTAAAAGGAAGCCATTAGTAGAAATAAAGATGATGCAGCTCCTGTGTTTTACAGCTTTCATCCATGTTTCTGAAGTACTGCTACCTGCCTACGACAGCTGCTGTGGAGGTCACACTCAGCATTTCCAGCCTTCAGCCACACTTACGGCTTTAAATGAGCATCAGTCTTGGCAACAGAGTTAACTGAGCTGCTGTTTTTCCCGTGAGAAACATGACTGCACACAGCATGTCAGAGCAGTGTGGAGCTGTGACGCTGGTCCCACTTTGAGGTTTGTTGTTTGTAGGGGACTTGGCCTAACTGGCCTCCAGAGATCCTGTCCAACCTAAATTACTCTGTGTGCCATGTGCCCTTAGGAGCAGCAGTCAGAGCTGGAAGCATCTCTCATTTTGTTAGTTTTCCCCTCTGAAACACCTTTCACCAGCACTGTCACTCCCACCCCTTCCCTCCTCCTAGCAAAGACCCCTGTGCAGCCCACCCCACAGCTGAGCCCCAGAGACAGCCCAAAAAAACCTGGCTGGGGTGCAGCTTCTGCCTCAGCTGAGCTCCTTGGCATGGCTCAGGCAGTCTGCTGGGGCAGTCTTGTACATTTACTCTTCTCTTTCTGGTCATCACAGGAGCTGGGCACCCTTGTGCACCCAAGGGACACCAAAATCTACTCTCTTCTAGCCATAACTGCCTGTGTGTCCTGTTTTCTCTGCCACAGTCAACTTGTTTCAGAAATTGTGCTGAATCCTTGCTCTTTAGTAATAAATTCTATTACGTTTTCTGAAAGAGAAAAAAATATAGTCCGCAACACTTCTTACAAATACCACATTTTTTATTTTAACTTCCAGGTTTGTTTTTAGTTTATTTTTTTTTTTTTCCTTAATAGCATATGTACTCTGGGGAGCTGCTTTGGAAGCTTTATTGATAGGCAGGGTCAGGACACACTTCCCTGATTTCAATCAACAATTTCCACCTCCAACAAGCTGCACAAGGGAAAAACCATAATGGATATCTGTGCTTCCTCACTAAAAGAAATTTTCAGTGGCAGAGATAATTTTCCTCTCTTTTTAGGGATTAATGTCTGCTAGTAGGGAACCCAAAGGCATCTGGAGGAGGCAACTGCAACAGTAGCTTCAGAAGGACAGCTGGAGATGAACCTCCCAAACTCTGGCAGGGAGTCCTGAAAGAAGAATCCCACTGCATGTGGGTAAGCAGCAGGTCATGCTTTTGGCACCTTCAGACCTGGTTTACACTCAGCTTGTGGCACTGCATCTTTCCAGCCAAATGCTTTCTCTCACCAATAAGGATGTCATTTCTCCATTCCATTTGCAGTTTATTGCTCACATATTACTTACACTTCCTTGACTCTTGATAAGAAAAATGATTGTCATCTTGTAAATTTTCAAAACATTTTTAAGAGATGGCTTCCAGTGCTGTTACAACACTTTTGCTACCTCTAGTATTTGTTTTGATGGATTTGGAGCCACCATACTATAGTTTTCACTGTTATTGCATGTCAGGTTGACATATGTGGTATTTCCTCTGTTGTGTATTCATGTAATTAAAAAAGAATTTGTCCAGGGAAATGGACGGGGAAGAACATTAGAGTGCAAGGCAAGTAATAAATATTTAAATGGTGCTTGGGAGTTGCTAATGGACAATACCAAATTCTCAGCTTTGATTTTGCCCCTTCCTTGATTGATTTCCACAATATTTGAATTATGAAATTTTAACTTCCATAAGCACAAAAGACAGGATACAAAGGACTCTTTGTCTCTCAGGACAGGGGAATTAGGTCTGTGAAGGACTCCCAGAACAAGAAATCCTACCAGAGCACCTGACCATAGGTTAAGTAGGCAAGATTGCCATTGCAAACTGAGATGACAAGAAAGCATATATGCAGACTGCTATTTAAAATGAATCATGTTACTGATTTTTTTTTTCCTGATATTCCAAAATAATTAGGTTTTAGCTAATGTTTTTGAATTTCTCTATATTGCTAGCCTGCTGAGAAGATATCCAGTTGCCTAAGTTGGTGGGGGTAAGATCCATAGATCCTTGGGGTTGTGCACCACAAGATTCAGATGAAATATGGCACAAGTGAATAATACCACCCCAGAACTGACTAAAGTAGAAGGCCTGAAGAAACAGGGTTAGTGGTATTGAAGGTGTGACCACTCAGATGTGCAGTTAGTTTCACAAGTATCACACTTGCTAGCTGCATCCTCTCAATTGCCAAACGATCTGCACAGGTGTCTGCCCAACACCTCAACTGTAAATCTGGAATATTACAAAAAGAGAGCCACTTAAGTTAATTCCTTTGGGTTATGAAATGAAATAATTTCTAGATGCAATGAACTGAACTTTGCTCTCTGTTTTGGGAGTGTATTCCTGAAGAAAGGAATAGTCTATTCTGCCTCAACCCAGGGTGGAAATGGTGGTAATTTTCCTCCTAAATGGCTGTTACAGCTTTCTCAGAATGCCACAGTAAAGAGATGCTGTTTAGCTCTCATGACCATGAAGTGTTTATTAATTTTTGAATATGTATTTATGGGGTTCATTTTATACAGTACATAATTTCGATGTTTGATTCTTAAATGGAAAAAGTATAAAAGTGAATATTGTTTGCTTCTTGAATCATTGATTACACAAAATGTCTTAGACATGAGTACCTAATACTATTTTTTTGCTGTTTCATTTCTAAAAAATCATTTCCTTTGTAGAATAAATTTATTTCAAACCCTTTACCATGAATAACACTGGAGATTAAAAAATGGCATAATTACAGGCTGAAGAACAGTCAAGCAAATAGGCAAACACAAAAATCCCCTTTATCAAGGGAAACGGTGGCAGAGCCAAATGATTTTGCTCATTTTTAAGGCCAGGAGTCATGCCAGCATCATCATCTCTCAGCACTTTTAAGTATGTTCTCGACACCTGATGAGCTTTCTAAAGGCCAGCTTGAAATCCTCATTAAAGCTCGTGTACAGCAAAGGGTTGATGAGCGAGTTGACATACCCAAGCCAGGTCAAGAAGTCTGCTACTTCTGGAGAGACAGTGCAAATGTGGAGGCCCACAAGCAGTTCTTTGATGAAAAAGGGCAACCAGGACAAAATGAAAGCACCTAAAATCAGCCCCAGGATGCGAGCAGCCTTTCGCTCTCTTGTCGTGGAGATCTGCTGCCGGTCGCCAGCCAGGTCCAAGTCGTTCTCGAAAGGAGGGATCCTCACGGATGGTTTGATTTTATCAAACTCTGTGGTTGGGTCAGATGTGGAGAAGTCCGAGACGCAGAACGTCTGTGTGAGCTTGCAGCTGGCAAAAGAGTTCTGGCTGTCGGTGCTCCTGTTGCTGAGGTGGCGGCTTGAACCCCGTTTTTGGTAAAGGCTCTTTGCAGCGTGGTAAATTCTGTAGTACAGGATCAGGATCAAAGTCAAGGGAATGTAAAATGCCCCAAACGTGGAATAAATAGTGTAGATGACATGGTCATGCTGAATGCGACACTCACTGGGAATACTGATGCTGTGGTGATTTCTCCAAAACAAGGGGGGCATTGATATGAAAACGGAGATTGTCCACACGGTGACTATCATCAACCCAGCCCTTTTCGCCGTCCTTTTCCTGGCGTATTCGATAGCGTCTGTGATGGCCCAGTACCTGTCCAGTGCAATGACACACAGATGAAGGATTGAACACGTGCAACAGGTCATGTCGACGCTAAGCCAGATCTCACAGATGAAGTACCCCAAAGTCCATTTGTCTATCATTATGTAAGTGATGCTCAAGGGCATGACGAGAACAGCAACAAGGAGATCCGTCACAGCCAGTGAACATATGAGATAATTTGCCGGCTGGTGGAGCTTCTTGGTTGTGGAGATTGCTGCAATTACAGCAGAATTCAGCAGCATAGTCAAGGTTGTGATTGTGGCCAAGGTCAGGGTAATGAGCATCTTTTCCGTTACTGTTTTTGGCTTTGCAGCCACACTGGCTTCAGTGGTGCAATTTGTGAAATTCATTTTCCCCTCCAGGATGCGAGAAGTTGGTAATGAAGAGTTCTAGGTTCAGAAGTCATCCATTTGAAAGAGATGCTATATGTATAATTAAAAAAAAATAAATTATAATCCCATATTCGACAGAGCAGCAAATAATCTTCCAGGTTTCTTCCTGTTCATTGTTTTCCTAGAAGATAAAAACACACCTGTTAGTCAATTTAGGATAATCCCACCTTTTGGTAAAAAAGTTTTGCATTTCTAATATCATCTCAAATAAAATGTTGGTCTGTTCTCCCTTCTCTTCTCTTGCCTTTTCTCTCCCCTTTTTTCTGCATTCATAGTTCATTTTTTTCTTATCTAAAGGGCAAATTGGGCCAGATTTCCTGCTGATGTGAAATGGTTATTCCTTCAGTTTTGGAGATTTTACTTTAGGAGGCTGGACTAAGGGACCTCCAGAGGTCCCTTTTCACAAACATGTCTATGATCTTTGTGATACTGATACCAGGAGCTAGTCCTTTTCCTGCTTGTTAAAATACACTCTAGCAGATGAAGAGCTGAGGGAATTTGCCTTTTCATTTTAATTGCTATATGAGAGGCATCAATTACTTTTATATATCACCTTTGAAAAAAAAAGCAGCAGAGCAGCCTATCTCAGCAAAGGCATGCCAGCATTTCACAGCTTTCTATTCTGCTTTTTCATCTCCATATCTGTATTAACATATTAGAAACTGCACTTAAAAATTACCTGGGTTGCTTTTATCATGCAGGTTTTCAACAATGTTTAAAGCTTTATGGCAAATGCTTGGTTTTACACAGCACATCAGTGTTGCTAGGAGCTCATATAGTTTTGTCTAATTATTCCTGACATTTCACATATCCCACTGTGAGTGTCTTTAGAGGAGACAGACAAAAAGCTTCTGCAACTGCTTTGAGATTTCCATCTAATTGTGCTCCCTGTCAGGGAGTCCAGTGTGATGCAAGGAACAATAATTTAAAAAAAGTTTAATTTTGTTACAGAAGTTTACATTTCTTTTCCATACATCCCAAATGCTAACTGAAGCCAGAGTTAATAGCCCATGAGGTGCAGGTTGGGATAACCTCTGGGACCTTGCTTACTCATTTGTAATTTATGTTTGCATAAAGGATGAGGAAAACTGAAAGTCTGAATCCTTTTCCATTGAAATAAACGGAAAGATTCCTTCCCCTGGCTTCATTTATCAGAGTGAGAAGGCTTCTTGGTTGGTTGTACAGGCTCCCTTTACAAGCAGGGGAAAAAGATAGCAGCTGCCAGAAATACACTTGTCCCCTCTCAAGACAAGCCTTTAAGGAAGATGCTGTGAATCATATCCTGGAAATGCTGATCTTTCTCTGTTTTCACTACAAGTGGCTCCTCCACAGTTGCATTTGGAATACATGTCTGATTTTTAGATTTTTAAGTTAAATCTGAGAGGTAAAACCCATTCTCACTGACACCAGTGGGACCTGGATTAGGCTCTGAGTTTGCACACGCAAGCTAATGAGGAATTAAGAAATTGAATGAGGAATTATGCATTTAAAGCTAGTTGGCTCTGTGTACATATGCTCTTCCTCAGATGTTGGAGTGCCATCTTCTGAATGAGCTGAATGAGGAAAAATTAAAATTAGAAACTTTAGATAAAAACTTCTATTTGTGGATAGGCTCTAGGAAAGCAGATCTGTACTGCCACTGTCTCTGGGTTAGCAAAAAGTGAGTTTTATTTCTGCCGAAGGAGCGGCAGAACTGCCTTCCCCTAAAGCATATTCTACTCTTAAGAAACTACTTTAAACAGCTTTAAACTACTAATAGCCTTGGGGGAAATATTAGGCCTGATTATTGAAAATTGACTGGAGAAGTCAGATGGAAATCCACCCATCATCTGTAACCATGTGGTTACCACCCATGGAAATGTCAATTTGATTGCTTAGGCCTAAAGCAAAAATATCAGCTCAAACCTTCTTCATAAATTGTTCATGGGAGTCTTTTATATCAAGACAGATTCCAAGTTCCTTAGTTTGCACCCTTATTATATCTGATGCTTTGATCAGAGGATAAAGCAAAGAGGTTTTCTCTCCCTCTCTTGCACTCCTGGAGCACAGACCAAAACCAATTTTAATCCACATCCTCTCTTCAGCACTATTATTTAGTGAGTGTACCCTGGCCCACAAGCTCTCTCAAAGATATTGGAAGACACCATGGAATTCACATCTCCTCCACAGCCACTATGTGCACACACAGGAGATCTTGTGATGCCTCTTGATGTAAGCAGCACTTCTTTCTGCTAGTCCTTCTCTCCTCTGGGGCCCTGAGGTCTCATGGCCCTGGGACATCTCCCCACCCTACATGGTCCCCACCATTTTCTCTGCTGAGCACTGCCTATATACAGGTTTAATCCTGTAAGACCTGAATTGCTGTGATTCTCCTCACCAGATGGCCTACACTGATGTATCCCAAGGAAAATCCTTTCTGAGCTCTACCTGTTCCCTGTATCACAAGAGTACTCTGAAAAATAAATTCTTGCTTTCCTTAATTAACTTGTATTTAAACAAACTTAACCAGATCCAAACATCAGGTTTGCTTTAGGACAAAGGATACTGCTGATAACACAGAGGAGTTTGCTTTTACAAGTCTGCTACTGCTCAGGAGAGCTAGCATTTTTTTTTTCCTGGAAAACACTGCAATAATTGAAGACAAGAAAAAATGTAAACAAAGCATCATCCCTGCCTGCAGGTACCTCAGACACCAGCAGGCCATCATTTCATGTCCAAACCCATTACTGGGGAGTTAATTCAGATTTTTCCTTATAGGAAGTGAGCCCTTAGCAATTCAGACAATATAAATGCCACGTAAGAGAATGGCACTAAACCAGTATTATTAAGGAAGTATATTTAAATGCTGAAAAGTCATTTCAGCTGTCAAGAGCTGAAAGTTTCTTCTACAGCTTAAGTCTGTGCGTCTTGTCCTCCCTCACCCACAGGATGAGGATACACACTGTCATTATAACTAATTAGCTATAATTAATTGACTGTAGCCCTGGCTGTTCACCTCCCAGCTCACCTCTTGTGCCAGAGACTCTCCTGAGCTGCTGGTGCCATCTCAGCACTGCCTCCAGGGGCTCAGCCAGGGCTCATGTCCACTCTCCTGCAGTGCCTCCTCCCCAGCCACTCTCCCACTGTCCTTGCTTTTCCAACTGTCTTCTCTCTACTTTTGAATTAGAAGACCCAGATAGAGAGTACTCTGGCCCAGGAAAGAAACGATGTTTTAAACTGGGAAATTATTTACAAAGAGATACCAGTGATTGACCTTGCTTATTAATACAGGGCAGGATTTAAATGCTACTTATCATCAATCTTTTAAAAATGCAGGTGTGTTTGTGGTCATAACATGAGTGTTAACAAGGAGAATTTTACTATGTCTAAGCAATAATAGCTGGTTTCCAGCATTTCTATCTCTTGCATATAATTGCTATATATAGTATTGCTATCACTATAGTAATTGATTGTGGTTTTCTAAGTGACATCTTAGAAGGGACATTAATAACAGTTATTTAAAGTGCTCTCACTAAAAGCACTGCTATGTTTATGTTTTGCAGCTGTATCACTTTAGGCTGTCAGTCATTTCCTACAGAGAGAATTTTACACACACAGTCTAATTTCCTGCAGTTGGTGCAAGAAACTCATCTGGCTTCCTCCAAATGGGAATCAATCATGTTTCATATTAGCTGGTTATTGGTAATGGCTTTAAGTGCCATTTAAGAGGAAGAAAGGGGAAAGAGTTTGATTAAACTTAAAAGGAACTGGACAAATTTAGGCTGTGAGATGGCAATGTCCATGTCTGCTCTTGCCAAAAACACTATCTCCCTCTTCTCAGCAGAGGACCACAGTGTAGCAGAATAATCTGAATTTCTGCTGGACAGATTGACTCCCACTCTTTGGCCACTGGACTTTCCACCATTTCATAACAAATGGAATAACATCACTTGGAGCAAGCAAATGGAACTGGCATTGCACATGTGTATGTACAAGGCAGGTTAGTTCCTTTACACCCATGGTTTTACATTTCCTCTAAGCAATTATTGCACTGTAAGCTGCTACACCTTTGTGCCCTTGACAGCAATGAATCAGTTTGACTCTCTTAAACTCTGAATTGGTCTGAATGCTTTACACTTTCAATATCTCCATGATTTTAGCTCTGAAGGGCAAGAATCTGTGCCATGATTTGTGAGACAGTTTATGGAAAATATGACTTAAGACACTTATGATAATGCTAATATTTCAAACTATGAAAATATGCTAAACTTTCAATGCTCCTCCTCTTCCTTCAAAGAGGTTTTCTCTTCCAAGTTTATGTACAAAGCCCTGAAATTTAGGCTTTTCCCTTGCACCTTTCTAGTATTGCTTTTGTAAATTCAACAAATCTTGGACTTCTTGGCTCCTTGGTAATCAAATGACACAGCTGAGTTTAACTGAAGATTATAGGTTTGCAAATACTAAGTACTGTACTCTGGCATGCTGGTTTTTCTTTGGGTTTCTAAGGATGTCAGTGCTGCAGAGGTCATGCTATGGATTTATGTAGGCACTGAGGCTGTTTGTAATGTGTCATGTTTGGAAAAGCAGCATGCAAAAGCTGAGAAAGTGGAGATGGTCAGAATCACGCCAACCTGTGGCAAGACTGTCAGCAATACAAAATCTTGTTGTCACCAGGCAGCTCATATTCACAGCCACAGCATGAGATTTTGATGCCAGTTGTAGGTAAAATGAAGGCAAACTATTAGAAGGTGTGTTGGGGTTGTCTTAGAGAAGCGTTAACTGGGGTAGGATAATAAAGGAAATCACTATTTTTTGTGTGAAAACCAAAATTTTACAAGAACCTGTCTGAGGAATTCCTAGCTGCATTATGGGACCATAGATTCAAGGATGCAACCTTTTCTTACACAGACTGAATGAGGCCAGGAATGAAATTACTATGAAATTTGTAGGAACTGACCTATAAAATTTACTTTCAAGTTAAGATTTAC